GACATAAAAAAAGTGCAAAGGTGGTCAAATATAAATTAGATGATATGAGACCAAAGATACATTTCATTGTTAACAAAAAGCAAAGAAATAAATAAATACCATAGTCATCTGTTGTATGATAGGGTTTTTTTTAACAACGATTTAATTACCTTTCCCCTGTATTCATGTTAAGTAAATAAGTACAAATTCCTTTTTTTGGGGGGTTTTCCTTTCATTAACTTATCTGGTCAGATAACCACAAATACAATTATGTCAGAAATCAAACAAGATAAAGCCAACATAAAAAAAAACCCAAATAATAATAATAAAGTAACAATCTATGCACATTCTAAAATGTACAAAATATATACAATTATAATAGTTATGCAATTTTATAAATATATGATAAGTGCAAATTGTGGTAAACTGTTCAAATTGTTATATTGTATGGTTAGGTTTTATTTATATTTTCTTCATTCAAATCTCTGATACAGAGCTGGTAGAAAATAAATGAAATAAATAAGTATTTTGAGAAGACAGAAATTAACTTGAGAAACTTAAAGTATTTCAAACTTACATGGCTTATGTATTTGACAACCTGAAAGACACAGAACAAAGGTGTACTTATTCATTTTGTAGAAAATATTCCCTGTTTATTTTTTGTTATTTTATATTCTTAGATTATAGTCACATTAGATTTCGACCATAGATACAGGATCTATAACTAGTGTGATACTGAAACAAAGTTTTTTCTTTTGTTTTATTTGATGGTTGATATTTATTTGCAATGATGCCAAAGTATCTTAGAGACTGTTAAAGATTGTGCTAGGTCATGCTTTGTTTTAAAACATACAAAAACACTTTGAATTAAACACTAGTGCTCTGTATACGTATGTAAATTACTGCAGCAAAAAACAAATATACAGTTGGGAACTAATATAGTAACACATAATGTGAATTTTTGTTTAAAAAGAAACTATATTTCTTTCATAAGGCCAAATTTAGTTGAACTTGTATTTATTGCACAGTAAATAAAGACAGATAGAGAGTGTCAACAGGTGGTGAAGAAGGATGACAAATGGCATTTTAGGAGAGGTTTCAAGGGGCTAGGAGCTACTGTAGTTTGATTCAAACATTCTCAAATATAAAGCTCTGGTGAGCCTTTGCTTTTTGCCTGTGGTTTTTGGGGGAGATGTTTATATTCTGGTTTCTGGTCAGGCAGCATCTTTTTGTGACATTTAAAGAAAGCAGTGTTTTCAGAATATGCTTTTGGTTAATTTGTACAATATTTAATTTATAATGATCTTAATTCAACTTACTCTAGATATATGAAAGTCAATTTCAACTCGACAACTGGTTTATGATTGGTTGTGGTGCTTCAACAAAGGTCTGGCCTGGATGTTTTTTCAAATTCACCCTTGTTAGTAATGCATTTCCATTTCTTATAATGGGTTTAAACCAAATGTGTTCAAGGTATCAGATCATCTGATTTACATAATATAGCTAAGTCTATGGTGGATGGCATCAAGTAGCATCGAGAGGTCCTGCTGTACGTCCAAGCATCCTGGCATCTCGATATTGGGGCATCTGATGATTCTGGGCTAGAGTTCAGAAATATAAATTTTTTTCTGTTTGATGCTGAGCTAATCCAGGAGTTTTCTAGGACAGACACAAAAGCAATCCAGCAAATCTTGATCGCTCCTGCAGAGCTGTCAGCATATGAAATTTGAATAAATATAAAGGGGGTAAACCCCAATGGTTTTAAAAAGCTAGAAAAATGAACTTTATGTAAAGGAGGAAAGCGAGATCTGATTATTATTTCCTATTCCACTAAGACATCTTCTCGATGAACTGTGGCAAAACAGTTTCTAAACACCTACATTAACTAAAACTGTTAAAACCTGCTGACAGAAAATATTTGATTTTATATTATGGTACTTGCAGCTGCTGCCACCCTAAAAAAGGCTTTCTATTCATTTTAAGCCGCATGAACTGGAGCAGCAAATCCCGTCCTGTGTGTTTTTTTTTTTTTACATACAAACAGGAAGTCAGTCTTTCTTTGGGGGGTGGGGGTGTTGTGTGCTTTTTTAATGAAACAATGACACCTGTTTAATTTTATCTCAATGTGTACAACAAAATTGCTTGAAAATTTAAATTGCTTGAAAAACATAATTTTTTTTGGTTCCGTTATTTTCTTTGGCCAAGTAAAGCCTGTTAATGTGCATAAAGTTTTCTACTGATGCTGCCATCTGTGGCCAAGACGAAGAACTGTAACACTCTTCTGCTCGTTCTTGTAGCTCATATCTCTAGTTGACAAGTTTTAGTTTTTACTTTTTTTTTTTTTTTAACCTCATCTGGAGTTGCCATTTTTTTCTGGGTTGAGCTGAATGGTGGTTGCTTCTTGGTATCCACAAAATCCATGTTGAATATAAGGCTGCAATTGTTTGAATCTAAGTAAATTCAGGAAAATAGGCGAAAGGCTTATGGATGAATGAATATGGATTTAAATCTGTAAATCTGCTCATCAAACTATTTTGAGTTGTAAAGGGTATTTTAAATATCTATTTTAGTAAAAACTTACATAATATCTCTTTAAGCATAATAATCACATCTACATAAATATACTTTAATTGATTGTCTTGGCTAACTTGCCACACTATGCACAAAAAAATGGTAAAGATCATCAGCATTGCTGCTGCCTTTTTTAATAGATGTTTGAGCTTGGCCTGTTTTCCAATGTAGTCCTGTTTCTTTTACTGTGAATAACTAGATCTGTGCTCTTTCATCCTCTAACATCGAAGCTGGCACCAACCTCGTCTACCTGGCTGGTTATTTCCCTCGATGGGGCTGCCTGTGGAGCTGGTTGACAGTTGACTATTGTATTTCTGCTTCTGTTTGTATCTCTGCTTCTGTCCCCTTTAACCCAAGTCAGCCTCGGCAGATGGCCGCTCACATTGAGCCTGGTTCTGCTGGAGGTTTGCTCCTGTTAAAAGGGAGTTTTTCCTCTCCGTTGTCGCTACAAGCATGCTTAGGGTGAGGGATTGCCTTCGAGTCAATGAGTCGATGCAATCAGCTGGTTTCCCACAGGTAGAAAATTTTGACCCAATCTGAGTTTTTGACCTGGTTTAATTGTGTCTGTAAAGTGACTTGAGATGACATGTTGTGAATTGGCGCTATAGAAATAAACTGAATTTAATTGAATCAGTATATTTGTTTTAGATATGCAGTCTTTCGGATAAATTATATAATTTGGAAATTAATATTAAAAATTATATATATATATATAATAAATGTACACTCAGTTGAAAGTTCTGATAATGGAACATTCCCTACAGTGCTCAACAATAATTAGTCCAATAATGAAATAGTTGTTTGGGATGAATATGTTTAATGAAAAAATCAATGTTCTTTTCCTTTCATAGATAAATTTAAAAAGGTACAATTTTCTTTAATATACAGGGCATTAAAGTCCCACTGCAGCTGCATGAAGAAATGGTACTAAAAGAGGAAAAAATATTTTGATTTATCAAAATCCCAGATTATTCATTAGTCTGAATATTGGCTACTATCAGAAATAACATATAAGATCTCACCAGCCTGTGACTAGACATCTGAAGCTGCATCTGTCTGCTCATGCAGCTGATCTTCCCTATCCTGTTTGCTCCAGTTGGTGCAAGACAGGCTTTATGTGACAGAAACCATTTCCAAATTCTCAAACCTATTCCTTTTTCTATATTCTCATGGGAAACAGCATTTGGGATTAGGGAGCATCTGATCCTCTGGGGCATTTTATCCATATAAGTATTACTTTATAATGTTTAGTTACAGGGTTATATTGTGGCTTTTCTGTTTGTGTTGAGATTTTTGGATTTTTTTTTTATCCCTTTTGGGCCACTATACTCCAAAGTGAAACACATTTCCAATTCTTTATTCAGGCGGTATACCTACCAAGGGCATAATGTTTTCATAGATATAAAAAAGTGAGGATTTCATTTGAAGATACAATGAGTTACGTTGTGCTAAAGCCATGATAGACAATTTTCAAAAACAGTCATTGTATTTAATCCTTGCTGTAATGATATGTTGTCTCAGACTATAAAGGCAGTGTTGGGCAAGCTACTTGTCCAGTGTAGTGAGCTAAGCTATCAGTTACTCAACAATAAATTAAGCTTCACTACACAAAAGCTACCACCTAAAGAATTATAGCAAGCTAAGTTACACAAATATGTTAAAAGTAGCTTAACTACATCAGAAGCTACTTAACATTGTACCAACCTAATATCAATTAAAAATGAGTCTGATACACTGGTTAAAATATTTATTAAAGATCAGCCAATGACATAACACAGTGTAAAAATTGCTTTATGATCAGCATATTAAAATAAAAACTGAAGTAATTACTAGTAGGCTCTGCTTGCGGATTTTTTTTGCTCTGTCTCAGACTGCAGTTGGATCGTTGCCTAGCAACCTTTCCAGCCAATAGAACGACAGCCTCGGAAAGGGTGCGCTTGTTTAACCCTACTGAGTGTGCCTGTGCTACTACGCCACTTATAAGAGCGTCAGCTGAAACTGTTATTTACAGTAATTTTGTGGCTGATTGTTTAGAAATAGAAAACCTGGTTTCATTTCTTAGTTTTGCCCTGGATTTTGTAGCGTTTGTGGACGCTATGTCGCTACTTGATCAAAACAATAACGTCGCTACAGGAAAGTTACTTGATAAATAAAGCAGCGACGCTACGGTCAAGCTACTGGAAAATGTAGTTAAACTAATAGCTTCGCTACACGTAGCGGCGCTACTGCCCATCACTGTATAAAAGTTTTCTATTTTGGAGTATTTTGCGTCTTATTCTAAAAGTCTGAAACAATTGTATTTAAATGAAAAAGTCTCAAAAGGGAAAAATAAATATTGGAAACAGTTTAGTTTGTAGTCACCTATTTCAATAACAATTCTGTTCCACCATGTGACACAAGTTGGTCTTTAATTTCCCTGAAAAATTGTTCTTATCATGAAGAGATATATTTTAAGATGCTTTCTTCTTACCATTGAAAGAGCAGCCCCTTGAACCATTAGACACACGGAAAGCCCAGCGGCCAGGTACATTAATGTTACTACTGAGGGTTAAAAATAAGCTCTTTGGGATTGTGTTATTAGAGAATGATCCAAGGATGGATAAGTGATGACAAGAATAGGATGTATCATATCCAGCCTAGAAATAACACAAAAAAACATTTTAGTAATATTTCAAAAACAGACGGTGGCTTTGGCCAAAACAAGAGAAAAATAAAGCATATATGCATTTAAATAAAATGCTCTAACCTCTATAGGGACCGGGCTGGATGCTAGGGGCCCATAATTCAGTATCACAAATGAGTAATTCCCATTTGAAGCCAAGACTGCCTGAAAGGTTGATTCCTGTGAAAGAAGAGGAATGTTTAGAATACCTATGCAGAATAAACATAGTTTGTGTCTTTTCATTTCAAACATAACGTAAAACAGATTTCCTTACTGTTTGAGCCACAAAAAAATAGGGAACTTTATGCCATGTTGCAATAAAGATCCAGCTGGCATGAAAGTTAAGTTCTGGGAAGTATAGGTTGATGTCCTGGGTAACTTGTTGGAGAATAGAGCCACTGGTATACTGAACATAATAGATGTTACCGCTTTCACGATTGTCTATATCAGTCCAATAAGGAGCAATAATGTCTCTGCTTTCATCCATTGGAAACTGTAATGGTATATAACTATACCATGGTGCTTCAAAGGTCAGATGTCCATTGTTGTTCACCTGCAAAAAAACAGTACTCAAATTATGTATTGCTTATTACATTTTTGAAGAATGTTCAAATATTGTCTTGTTAATTAAAAAGAAAAGTGAATTACATAGTAAAAAGTAAAAAAAAAGAGACGCCAAAATTACATTTTGATGTTTATTTACTTTGAAGATGAAGGTTTAAATATTGTTTTCAATATGAAAATTAAAAGTGACTTAAAGTCAAAGAAATAAAGTGAACATACATAAATCTGAGAGTAAGATTTGCCAAAATAGTTAAAGGTTTGATTGAGGTAAATTTGTGGGGAGCTTCCATCAAGTTCTCGAGGGGTTGTTGTTCCTCCAATTGGGTAGAGGGGTACTGAAAAGTACAACACAGATTAACAAAATGGTCTTCCTGTGTTTAAACAATTTCCATTTCTATAAAAATATATCGCACTAAAGGCACACATTAACCTGAATGCACCGATAAGTTATGCTTTTATTTTGAAAATATCAGCATTTATGAGTTTTAAAAGGCCATAAAAGTACAAGTTCCAAACATGTTTACTTCAAGTGGCATAAGTGAGGCATGTTGCAAAATGATCTGCTAAGTCATATCTGAAGGGTTTTAATATCTTTTTTTTAATAAAACAGGAGCAATATGCTTAAGAACAAGTATATAATATATAAACAATGATGTCTTCTTACCATTGCAGTCCCTTGAACCATTATCTACACGGAAAGCCCAGCGACCAGATACATTGACGTTACTTCCGAGGCTTAAACGTGTCAGGCTTGGAAATGTGTTATCAGAGAATGACCCGAGGATGTTGAAGTGGTGACATGAATAAGCTGTGTCATATCCAGCCTAGAAATAACAGATTTTTAAAACGAGAAAAATAGTTATAATAAAAAAAATAGACATTGGTTGTAGCCAAGACAATGCATATTAAAGAGCTTTGCATTTAACTGAAATGCTCTAACCTGTACAAAGACCTGCTTAGATGCAAGGTACCCATAATTCAGTATCACAAATGAAAAATTCCCATTGGAAGCCAAGACAGCCTGAAATGTTGTTTGCTGGGGGAAAGGGTGATTTTTAGAATAGCTAGTTAGGTAAATGTAGTTTAGATACTTGCATTTCAAATATCACTTCAAATAGATTTTCTTACTGTTTCAGGTTTTGAAACATAGGGAACTTTATGCCATGTTGCAATAAAGATCCAGTTGGGATGAAAGTTAAGCTCTGGGAAGTAGGTATTGAAGTCCTGGGTAACTTGTTGGAGAATAGAGCCGTTGGTATGCTGAACATAATAGATGTTACCGCTTTCACGATTGTCTAAATGGGTCCAGAATGGAGCAATGATGTCTCTGCCTCCATACATTGGAAACTGTTCTGGTGAATAGCTATCCCATGGTGCTACAAAGGTCAGATGTCCATTGTAGTTTACCTGCAAATCAAATTATGTATTGCTTATTATTATTTCAATATTTAAATATTGTCTTGTTATTTAGAGAGAAAAGTGGATTACATCCTAAAAAAGTAAAATAAAACAACGGTCAAATTGCTGTTTATTTACTTTTAGGATGAAGTATTAAATAGTGTTTTCACGTTTAAAAAGAAAACTGACTTAAAGTCTAAGAAAAAAGGTGAACATACATAAATCTGTGAGTAAGATTTGCCAAAATAGTTAAAGGTTTGAAGAAGTGAAATTCGTGGGGAGCTTCCATCAAGTTCCCGAGAGGTTGTTGTTCCTCCAATTGGGTAAAGATGCCCTAAAAATTACAACAGATGTTACCAAAAAGGTCTTCCTTTGTTCTTACACAGGAGCAAGTGTTCATATGTAAAGTTAAACATCCAGTCATTTCTGTAAAGACAAATTGTGCTAATGTAAAATAGTTTCAAACAAAGAGACATGTTACCCTGACAGTCAAATGCATTGATAAGTGTTGCTTTTATTTTGTAAAGGCCCTGATAGCACAAGTTCTAAACTTTGTTTAAGTCATGTTTGAAGGGTTTTAATTTGCATGGTGTGTTTATATTTTATATATATATATATATATGTATGTATAAAACAGGAGCAGTAGGCTTAAGAACAAGTATTAAACACATAGATTATGATGTCTACTTACCAAAGCAGTCCCTTGAACCATTATCTACACGAAAAGCCCATCGACCAGAAACATTGATGTTGCTTCCCAGGCTTAAAAGTTTCAGGTTTGGGATTATGTTATTAGAGAATGACCCAAAGATGTTGAAGTGGTGACATGAATAAGCTGTGTCATATCCAGCCTAGAAATAACAGATTTGTAAAAAGAAAAAAATACTCATACTTAAGAAAGTAGACATCGGCTGTAGCTAAGACAGTGTGAATCAAACATACCGTATTTTCACGACCATAAGGCGCACCGTACTAAAAGGCGCAGTCTCAGTTATGTGTGCCATTACTGTATTTCACACACACATAAGGCGCACCGGACTATAGGGCGCGTTTTTTATATATAGGTACATGTCCTCTACTATGTTTAAATACCTCTACTGCGTATTTAGAAATAGATCGGGAGCAAAACTGAGTATGATTGTGCTTTATTCATGTATTTATTACAAAGTATTAATCAAACCCATCAAAGTCATCATCCTCTGTTTCTGAATTAAACAGCTGCGCTAAATCAGACATGCCAGTTTCCCCTTCTACGCTGTCAGAGTCACTTTCTGTGCCGGGCGGCTCCTCGGAAATGATGCCGGCTTTTGCGAAAGCTTGAACAACAGTGCCAGCAGACACGTTAGCACAAGAATCAACAATCCATCCGCAAACTGTGGCGTAACTTGCCCGGCGCTGCCTTCCACTTTTCGTGAAACTGTGGTCTCCGTCGTTCATCCATCGCTCCCACGCCGCTCGCAGCCTTACTTTGAACGGCCATAACACCAATGTCGAGGGGTTGAAGTTCCTTTGTCAGACCTCCAGGAATAACAGCGAGCACAGCGTTCATTTGTTTCACCTTGTTTTTCACATTGGCTGTGAGATGGGCACGCATGGAGTCACAGATTAACAGCGATGGTAATGCGTGGAAAAAACCACCTGGTCTCCTTCCATACACCTCCCTCAGCCACGCTTTCATCATCTCCTCACCCATCCAGCCCGTTTCATTTGCCTTAATAACGACTCCAGCTGGAAAAGTCTCGTTGGGCAAAGTCTTTCGCTTAAAAATCACCGTAGGCGGCAGTTTCTGTCCATTTGCGTGGCAGCCAAGCACAACAGTAAACGACGCCTTTTCATACCCCGTTGTGTGTATCGCTACAGTGCTGGTCCCCTTCTTCTCCACCGTGTGATTCACCGGGATGTCGAAAGTGAGCTGCACCTCGTCCATGTTGGTGATGTGGCTTGGCTGGATGCATTTGTCGGCGATGTGTTTGCTGCAGTAGGAGTGGAAGCTCGCCAGCTTTTCATTATAATCCGCCGGACGTTGCTGAGCTACTGTAGTCCTGGTCCGGATGGAAAAATTGCACTCATAGGCGTGTCTCTTTGCCATTTTCAGGGTTGTTATGACAGCAATGTTCTGCATAAAGCACAAACCTGTTCTTTTATACACAATCCACGCCCACAGTCCCCCCTTTAACGTTCTCATGGCGGTCTCAACAACGTCCGCAGTAACACATAGGGCGCGCCGCACATTTTGACGAAATAAAAAAGACCTTTATATGCACCTTGTAGTCGTGAAAATACGGTGTATGCATTTAACTGAAATCTTCTAACCTGTATAGAAACCTGTTCAGATGCAAGGCACCCATAATTCAGTATCACAAATGAATAATTCCCATTGGAAGCCAAGACTGTCTGAAAGGTTGTTTGCTGGTGAAAAAGGGGGATATTTTATAATAGCTAGTTAGGTTAACATAGTTATTTACTTTTATTTCACATATCACTTCAAATACATTTCCTTACTGTTTCAGGCATTGAGTAATAGGGAACTTTATGCCATGTTGCAATAAAGGTCCAGTTGGCATGAAAGTTGAGGTCTGGGAAGTATCGGTTGATGTCCTGGGTAACTTGTTGGAGAATAGAGCCGTTGGTATATTGAACATAATAGATGTTACCACTTTCACGATTGTCTAAATGCGTCCAGAATGGAGCAATGATGTCTCTGCCTCCATACATGGGAAACTGTAATGGTGAATATCTATCCCATGGTGCTTCAAATGTCAGATGTCCATTATGGTTCACCTACAAATAAAAAAAATGCAAATTAGACATTGGTGTTTATTTATGTTTATTGGTGAATTCTTTAATATTGTCTAAACATTTGATAGGAAAAATGAAAGTAAAATATTTAGGATTAACATACATAAATCTGAGTGTAAGATTGGTCAAAATAGTTAAAGGTTTGAAGAAGTGGAATTCGTGGGGAGCTTCCATGAAGTTCTCGAGAGGTTGTTGTTCCTCCAATTGGGTAAAGGGGTCCTGAAAAGTACAACAGAGATCACCAAAGTCTCCCTGTCTTTTTAAACAGGATCCAGTGTTTAGTATATAAAGTTGAAACATGCATTCATGCTTGAAATTTCCGTGCAAAACATATTGTGCTAAAGTCAAATAGTTTTAAACCAACCGTGCACGAATGATTATGAGTGACATATACTTCAAGAATTGATGCTATTATTGTAAAAACTTATCAATAATTTTGATTTTTTTAAAGGCCATAATGGTGCAAGTTCTCAAATGGTTTATTTCCAGCAGTAGAAAAGCCTGTTCTGGAATAATCTGCTAAGTCATATAGCACACCATACTCCAGTCATCTCATCAAGTCATCATGTTCAGATTGGACTCACTTGATGAGATGACAGGAGTCTGGTGTGCTATTGCTTGGTTGGAAAGAAAACCTGCAGCCACACGGCCCATTCTGGAACCAGTTTGACACCCCTGATTTAAAGGGTATTGAGATTTTTTAAAATTATTTCTATTTTCATTTTCAAAGGGTGTAGTTGTCATGATTGGTTTAAGTGACTTAACCCACATGCAGAACACAAAGGGAGGCTGAGTAAAAGTTTAACAGAGTTTATTGAACAGGTTTTCACACAAGACATGAACTGGTTCAGGTACTGGTCCGGGCAGGGTTCACTGATGTCTGCAGAGACGGACAGTTTGATTAGCCAGGCAGTCAGATAATTTATTGAGTCTTAGATATTTCAGAGTCTACCTTGAAGAGGTCCAAGCTTCCTTGTGAGAGAGGGAACCGGTTGGGTCCAGAGATTGTTGGTTCAGCAGAGTGTTTTGCAGCAGCAGCAGCAGCGTCTAACTTCTGACTAATGAATGGCAGACCTTGATTAGAGATTCCAGCTCTTCCCTGAGAGCAGCAGGAGGAATCCAGATTCAAATCTTCAGGTTTGGCTCACTAGGGCTGGCAGGCAGGTTAAAGCTCATCCAGAGCTTCAGACTTGAGACGGGTTTCCTGTGAGCAAAAGACAGAGGCAGATTAGAATCAAGTTTCAGGTAACAGAGGCTCAGGTTCGCTAACCAAACTAGGTCAACACTGTGGCGTCGAAGGAAGGTCTGGTTGCTGCTTATGTAGGTAGGTCTCCTGATGGGTTGATGAGCGTCAGGTGTGCTGGAGGGCTCCAGCGCAGGAGACCCACAGCGCACTCTGCTGGAGAAAGGTGGTACATCTCCAGATCCCAACAGTACCCCCCTCTCAACGACCGCCTCTTGGCGGTCCCGAGTAAGTGGACGGGAGGGAACTCTCATACTCCTCGATCCGGGACGGATCTCGACTCCGGACCGTAGCCCTCCCAGTCGACGAGGTACTGCCATCTGCGACCTCGCCGACGGGAGTCCACGATCTGGCGAACTGTGTAGGCCGGATAGCCGTCGATGTCCAGGGCGGGTGGAGGGGAGTCGGATGGTGGGCACAAGGAGCTTGAGATGACAGGTTTGATCTGGGAAACATGAAACGTGGGGTGGATGCGAAGAGACGGTGGCAAGTGCAGGCGGACAGCTAAGGGATTGATAATCTGAGCAATCTTGTATGGACCGATGAACCGAGGTGAAAGCTTCCTAGACATGGCTTTGAGAGGAATGTCCCGTGTAGATAGCCATACCTCTTGGCCCAGGGTATAGTCAGGGGCAGGGCGCCGTTTAGAGTCGGCGAATCTCTTCTTGGTGGCAGATGAGCGGTTGAGGGTGGCGATGGTGTCCTTCCAGACACGCTGACAACGGCGGATGTGGTGGTGGACTGATCTAACCGTTATCTCTCTCTCGTCTGCAGGGAAAAGTGGTGGCTGATAACCTATGGAGACTTGAAAAGGGGACAAACCGGTAGAAGCAGATCTCAGGGAATTGTGGGCGTATTCGATCCATGTCAGAAACTGACTCCAGTCAGTCGGATTGTTAGAGGTTAGGCAGCGGAGAGTGGACTCGAGTTGTTGATTCATCCTCTCCGTCTGCCCATTAGACTGAGGGTGATAACCAGAGGTGAGAGAGGACTTGCAATTCAGAGCTGAACAGAAGGCTTTCCAGACCTGTGAGATGAACTGGGGACCACGATCGGAGAGAATCTCTTGGGGTATCCCATGGAGATGGAAAACATGCTTCACGAGAAGTTGGGCAGTTTGGAACGCAGTGGGTAGTTTCCTGAGGGGAATTAAATGACAGGCCTTGGAAAAACGGTCAACAATGGTTAGGATAGTGGACATACCTCTGGAAATCGGGAGACCGGTGACAAAATCAACTGCGATGTGGGACCAAGGATGGGTAGGGACAGGTAGAGGATGCAGCAGGCCAGAAGGTGGTTGGTGAGAGGTCTTATTTCTGGCGCAGATGGAACATGCCAGAACATATTCTTTTACGTCTTTGTGAAGAGACGGCCACCAAAAACCTCTAGTGATGAGGGCTATGGTTCTGCTCACTCCAGGATGGGCCGAGAATTTTGCTGCATACATCCAATGGATAAGGCGGGATCTGACGGAAAATGGAACATAAGTTTTGTTTGGAGGACCGTTACCTGGGTCAGGTTCAGAGGCCAGGGCAGAGTTGATGAGATCAGTGATCTCCCAGGAAACGACTCCAATCGTGCATGAGGCAGGGAGAACAGGTTCGGGTGTCTCAGGTTGATCAGTGGAGTACAGACGAGAGAGAGAGTCGGGCTTGACGTTCTTGGAACCAGGTCTGTAAGAAATGATAAGATTGAAACGAGAGAAGAATAAAGACCATCTTGAATGACGTGGGTTGGATCTTTTAGCCGATTGGAGATAAGCCAGGTTTTTGTGGTCTGTCCACACCAATACTGGATGCTCGGCTCCCTCGAGCCAATGTCTCCACTCTTCCAGGGCGAGTTTGATGGCAAGAAGTTCTCGGTCTCCGACATCATAATTTTGTTCTGCCGAAGAGAGTCTACGTGAAAAAAAAGCACAAGGGTGAATTTTCTGGTCAGAGTCTGACTGTTGAGATAAAACAGCTCCAACACCGGAGTCAGATGCGTCCACCTCTAGGACAAACTGTTTAGAGGGATCAGGTTGGATGAGGATGGGTGCCCTGGAAAACAGATTCTTCAGTTTATTGAAAGCATTTTCGGCTTCAGGTGTCCATTGGAATGTCTTCTTCACAGAAGTCAAAGCTGTGAGGGGAAGGGCTGTCTGACTATAATTTCTTATGAAACGCCTGTAGAAATTTGCAAACCCAAGTAACCTCTGGAGTTGCTTACGGTTTTCAGGTTTCGGCCAGTCCAGAACAGCCTTTATTTTGTCTTCGGATGGCTTCACCTGCCCGCCCTCGAGCACAAACCCTAGAAAGGTGACAGATGGTTGGTGAAATTCACATTTTTCAGCTTTCACAAAGAGTTTGTTTTCCAGTAGTCTCTGAAGAACTAGACGAACATGTCTTTTGTGGTCTGAGAGGTTCTTGGAGTAGATCAAAATATCATCCATGTATACAAAAACAAAAACATTCAAAAAATCTCTGAGGACGTCGTTGACTAGAGCCTGGAAGCAAGCAGGAGCGTTAGTAAGACCAAAAGGCATGACCAGGTATTCAAATTGGCCTATGGGGGTCTTAAAGGCTGTTTTCCATTCATCCCCTTCTCTATTCTAAGGAGATGATAGGCGTTTCTTAAATCGAGTTTGGTGAACACTGTCGCACCTTGAACAGGTTCAAAAGCTGATGCCAGTAATGGTAGGGGATACTTATTTTTGACGGTTATCTGATTCAAGCCTCTGTAGTCAATACAGGGTCGGAGGGAACCGTCCTTTTTTCCCACAAAAAAGAAATCAGCACCGAGAGGAGATGAAGATGGACGAATAATTCCAGCGGCTAGGGACTCATTGATATACTTCTCCATGGTTTTGCGTTCTGGTTTGGAGATGTTAAATAGTCTACTGCTGGGAAGGGGGGCTCCTGGTAGTAAATCAATGGCGCAGTCATATGGTCTGTGAGGTGAAAGAGACATCGCACTGACCTTACTGAAGACTGGTGCCAGATCATGATACTCAGGAGGAACAGAAGTAAGGTCAGGAGAGTCCATTTCCCCCCTACCTCTAGGGGACTGAATTGTAGGAGCCGCAGAACGAAGGCATGACTCGTGACAGGAAGTGGACCAAGATTCAATGTGGCATTCAGCCCAGTTGATATGGGGATTGTGACGTTCCAACCACTCGAAACCAAGCACCAGAGGAGAGCATGCTGAGGGAAAAACAAAAAATGTTAGCGTCTCACGGTGGTTTCCTGAGATAAGAAGTTCTAAAGGTTGCGTCTGATGAGTAACTTGGTGAAGCTTCTTTCCATCAATTGCCGATACTCTGAGAGGCTTAGTTAAAGGAACAGTCTCAATCCTTAACTGCTGGACCAGCTCAGAATCAATGAGATTTTTCTCACACCCAGAGTCAATGAATGCAGATAATGTGAGATTCTGGTTAGAAAAAAAAAGGGTTGCTGGCAACAATAAATGAGGAGTTTTTTCAGATTTTAGATGGCCCGTCAGACTCCTCAATTCCACTGACGGGCCCTGGCTTTTGATTTAGCCGGGCATGGGGAAATGAAATGGCCGATCTCACCGCAGTACAGACAAAGTTTTCCTCTAAATCTCTGTTGTCTTTCTTCGGGGGATAACCTTGTGTGTCCAATTTGCATAGGTTCGACCTCCGATCCACCTGCGTGAGAGGCTTGGACAGGTACTGAAAAAGTCTGGCTCTTAGACTTTGGCTTGGAACTGGGTTCTGGGGATCCAGAAAAAAACAGAAGCATTGTTAAATGCAAGAGCAGAAACAGAAAAATTCAGGATTCGATGTTTAGAGTTATTTCTAGTTCGGAGTCTATTATCCAGTCATATGGTTAATCGGATTAATTACTCCAGACTAGCTGGTTCGTCGATTGTGGCTAGTTTGTCTTTGATGTTTTCATTTAAAGCCTTGAAATAAGCACTCTTAAGTGCACACTCATTCCAGCCTGAGGCTGCAGCTTTAACCCGGAAGTCAATGGAAAACTCAGCCACTGTTGAATTTCCCTGCTTCAAACTTAGCAGAGCTCGGGAATCAATTGTTTTGTCTGAGTCGTGATTGAAAACTTGGGAAAACTCAGATATAAACTAAGAAAACGTACATGAAAAGCTGGACTCTGAAGAGAACCTTGCCTCCGCCCATTCAAGGGCTCGTCCAGTAAGTTGAGAGAGAATGAAGGAGATTTTCTTCCTATCATTCGGAAAACTGCCAGGGGAGTGCTCAAAAAGCAAACGACACTGAAACAAAAATCCTCTACAATCCTTTTGGTTACCTGAAAATTGTTCAAGAGGACTTGGACGGAACTCCGGAAATGACGTCACTGTCAGTGACCTTAGAGGCGGAAGTGGTTCCGGAACAGGACGTACTGCTGGTGTGGCATTAGCATCCCTCATGTAGCCAGCATATGCCTGTAAAACTTGGTTCTGATGTTCAATTTGAGTGTTTAACTCACGGAGGGTGTGCGCATGTCCTTGGATTTGGGCGTCCTGCTCCTCGAGCCTCCTCCGGAGGTGATCTGCTGGGTTTTGTATTTGGCCGCAGTGTTCTGTCATGATTGGTTTAAGTGACTTAACCCACATGCAGAACACAAACGGAGGCTGAGTAAAAGTTTAACAGAGTTTATTGAACAGGTTTTCACACAAGACATGAACTGGTTCAGGTACTGGTCCGGGCAGGGTTCACTGATGTCTGCAGAGACGGACAGTTTGATTAGCCAGGCAGTCAGATAATTTATTGAGTCTTAGATATTTCAGAGTCTACCTTGAAGAGGTCCAACCTTCCTTGTGAGAGAGGGAACAGTTGGGTCCAGAGACTGTTGGTGCAGCAGAGTGTTTTGCAGCAGCAGCGTCTAACTTCTGACTAATGAATGGCAGACCTTGATTAGAGATTCCAGCTCTTCCCTGAGAGCAGCAGGAGGAATCCAGATTCAAATCTTCAGGTTTGGCTCACTAGGGCTGGCAGGCAGGTTAAATCTCATCCAGAGCTTCAGACTTGAGACGGGTTTCCTGTGAGCAAAAGACAGAGGCAGATTAGAATTAAGTTTCTCTCAAGAGACAACTAAGATTCTTTCAGGTAAAAGAGGCTCAGGTTCGCTAACAAAACTAGGTCAACACTGCGGCGTCGAAGAAGGTCTGGTTGCTGCTTATGTAGGTAGGTCTCCTGATGGGCTGATGAGCGTCAGGTGTGCTGGAGGGCTCCAGCCCAGGAGACCCACAGCGCACTCTGCTGGAGAAAGGTGGTACATCTCCAGATCCCAACAGTAGTCAGCTTTAGGTAAAGGATTTAACAAATAAGTAAAAAGGAAACTATTTTCAATGGTTAAAACACATTGTGTTCTATTATGATTACAATAGTAACACATTAAATACTAATAAATACAGCTTTATTTAAAAAAGGAAATTCCAATAGAATCTCTGTTTCAAAATGCCATAATCATCAGTTTTCCAAAACTGGTTGAGTTCAAGCAATATTGTTTAGTTCCAAGCCTTAAATTTCTCCTTTGAAGGATAAAAAGGATTTTATTAGAATTTTTTCTAATTCCCCTTATACATGTTGTAATCCTCATATAGTGATGTTTTCCTCTTACCATCGTAGTCCATTGAACCTTTATCTACACGGAAAGCCCAGCGACCAGATACATTGACATTACTACTGAACGTTAGAAGTTTGATTTTTGGAAATGTGTTATTAGAGAATGATCCAAGGATGGTGAGGTGGTGACAGGAAGAGGCTGTGTCATATCCAGCCTGGAAATAAAAAAGTTAAAGAAAAACAAACAAATAAATTGTAACTTAGAAAATTGACACTGGCCAAGGATGAGACAAGGTAAAGAAAACATGTATGAATTAAACAGCAATGCACTAACCTCTATAGAGACCTGTCTGGATGCTAGGGGCCCATAATTCAGTATCACAAATGAGTAATTCCCATTGGAAGCCAGGACTGCCTGAAAGGTTGATTCCTGTAAAAAAAAAAGAGGAATGTTTATAATAACTATGCAGAACAAACATAGTTTGTGTCTTTTAATTCTAAATATAATATCAAACAGATTTCCTTACTGTTTCAGGCATTGAATAATAGGGAACTTTATGCCATGTTGTAATAAAGATCCAGTTGGCATGAAAGTTAAGCTCTGGGAAGTATAGGTTGATGTCCTGGGTAACTTGTTGGAGAATAGAGCCGGTGGTATGCTGAACATAATAGATGTTACCGCTTTCACGATTGTCTATATCAGCCCAATAAGGAGCAATAATGTCTCTGCTTTGATCCATTGGAAACTGTAATGGTATATAACGACTCCATGGAGCCTCAAAAGTCAGATGTCCGTTGTTGTTCACCTGCAAATAAAGCGGCTCTAAAATTATGTATTTCCCTTTTTTGATGAATGTTTTAATATTGTCTTGTTAATTAAAAAGAATAGTGGATTACATCCTAAAAAGTAAAATAAACAAAAAATGCCAAAATTAGGTATTGCTGTTTATTTACTTGAAGATGAAGGTTTAAATATTGTTTTCACTATGAAAAAGAAAATTAACTTAAAGTTAAAGAAATAAGTTGAACATACATAAATCTGAGAGTAAGATTTGCCAAAATAGGTAAACTTTTGAAGAAGTGAAATTTGTGGGGAGCTTCCATCTAGTTCTCGAGAGGTTGTTGTTCCTCCAATTGGGTAGAGGGGTCCTGAAAAGTCCAACAGATATCAACAATATGGTCTTCCTGTGTTATTAAACAGGAACAAGTGTTCATATGTAAGGTTTAAACATCCAATCATTTGGGTTAATCTAAAATTGTTACAAACAAAGAGACACATTATGCTGGGGGACAAATGCATCAATAAGTGATGCCTTTATTTTGAAAATATCAGCAGTTTTAATTTTTAAAAGGCTAAAACAGCACTATGAAGGAACAACTCTGCCATAATTAAGCCAGGTCGAACCACAGCCCATCTGCAGCGGCCCTCTCTCGGCATAGCCGTGTGTGAAGCGTGTTGGTTAGCATTTTACTACATCGGTCGAATCTACAGGAGGAGAGTCTGATGTCGAGTCTGAAGTCATTAGAACTTGAGTAGGGACTTTGCCAAACTTTGCCAAATACAACAAAAAATCGCCATCATAGCCTGACTATATACCTGGCTGCCGTCAGCTTCGGAGCTCCGCTGGTTGCCACGGTCCTCTCAAGTTCGTCACATTTTCTTTTAAATTACGCATTAAATCTGTGAATGGGCCATATGGTGATGCTTAAAAGTATAAGGTTCTCGCCTCAAATGATCTTAAAACATACTTTAATTGAACAACAGCAACAGAAAAGAGAACATTTAACTTAGTACTCTGAGCTCTGTGAGTTAAGAAGATGGGCCGCCAAGCCGACCAATGAGCAGAAGTTGACTCTCTAGGACACACCCCCTCCTCATTTGCATAATGAGGTAGAAATGCATAGAGAAATGTAAAAAGGGCAGAGAGAAATGTAAAAAGGGCAGAGAGAAATAAACAGCGGCGAAGAAATAACCAAGGTAAAAAAATACAAAGGAAGAATAAAACAGACAAAAATATTATAACATGCACATAAATAAATACTGAAAAATATAAGTAATTAAAAAATAAAGTTGAAGATTATAAAGGACAGAAAAATAAATAAGGTAAATATTACAAAGGCAAATAAATAAAGAAGCTAATTAAGAGTTATATACATTTATGTCTCACTTTTTTGTTGGCAATTAATTGTATGCTTATACATTTATTGAGCATTTATTTATTTCTGTATTTATTTTTAAATATGGCAGAGTTAGTCCTTCATACAGTACAAGTTCCAAACATATTTATCTCAAGCAGTAGTAGTAAGGCATGTTGCGAAATGATCTGCTAAGTCGTATTTGAAGGGTATAAAACAGTAGGATATGGTTATAATTTTTTTTTAAATAAAACTGGAGCAATAAGCTTAAGGACATCTATATAACACAGATTATGATGTCTTCTTACCATTGCAGTCCCTTGAACCATTATCTACACGGAAAGCCCAGCGACCAGATACATTAACATTACTTCCGAGGCTTAAATGTGTCAGGTTTGGAAATGTGTTATTTGTGAAGGACCCAAGGATGGTGAGGTGGTGACATGAATTAGCTGTGTCATATCCAGCCTAGAAATAACAGAAAAAAAACAACCTTATTTTAATCATACTTAAGAAAATAGACACTGGCTATGCCCAAGACCAGATAAATAAGACAAGTATGCCTTTAGCTCGAATGCTCTAACCTCTATAGAGACCTGTCTGGATGCTAGGGGCCCATAATTCAGTATCACAAATGAGTAATTCCCATTGGAAGCCAAGACTGCCTGAAAGGTTGATTCCTGTAAAAAAAAAAGAGGAATGTTTAGAATAACTATGCAGAACAAACATAGTTTGTGTCTTTTAATTCTAAATATAATATCAAACAGATTTCCTTACTGTTTCAGGCACTGAATAATAGGGAACTTTATGCCATGTTGCAATAAAGATCCAGTTGGCATGAAAGTTAAGCTCTGGGAAGTATAGGTTGATGTCCTGGGTAACTTGTTGGAGAATAGAGCCGGTGGTATGCTGAACATAATAGATGTTACCGCTTTCACGATTGTCTATATCAGCCCAATAAGGAGCAATAATGTCTCTGCTTTGATCCATTGGAAACTGTAATGGTATATAACGACTCCATGCAGCCTCAAAAGTCAGATGTCCGTTGTTGTTCACCTGCAAATAAAGCGGCTCTAAAATTATGTATTTCCCTTTTTTGATGAATGTTTTAATATTGTCTTGTTAATTAAAAAGAATAGTGGATTACATCCTAAAAAGTAAAATAAACAAAAAATGCCAAAATTAGGCATTGCTGTTTATTTACTTGAAGATGAAGGTTTAAATATTGTTTTCACTATGAAAAAGAAAATTAACTTAAAGTTAAAGAAATAAGTTGAACATACATAAATCTGAGAGTAAGATTCGCCAAAATAGGTAAACTTTTGAAGAAGTGAAATTCGTGGGGAGCTTCCATCTAGTTCTCGAGAGGTTGTTGTTCCTCCAATTGGGTAGAGGGGTCCTGAAAAGTCCAACAGATATCAACAATATGGTCTTCCTGTGTTATTAAACAGGAACAAGTGTTCATATGTAAGGTTTAAACATCCAATCATTTGGGTTAATCTAAAATTGTTACAAACAAAGAGACACATTATGCTGGGGGACAAATGCATCAATAAGTGATGCCTTTATTTTGAAAATATCAGCAGTTTTAATTTTTATAAGGCTAAAACAGCACTATGAAGGAACAACTCTGCCATATTTAAGCCAGGTCGAACCACAGCCCATCTGCAGCGGCCCTCTCTCGGCATAGCCGTGTGTGAAGCGTGTTGGTTAGCATTTTACTACATCGGTCGAATCTACAGGAGGAGAGTCTGATGTCGAGTCTGAAGTCATTAGAACTTGAGTAGGGACTTTGCCAAACTTTGCCAAATACAACAAAAAATCGCCATCATAGCCTGACTATATACCTGGCTGCCGTCAGCTTCGGAGCTCCGCTGGTAGCCACGGTCCTCTCAAGTTTGTCACATTTTCTTTTAAATTACGCATTAAATCTGTGAATGGGCCATATGGTGATGCTTAAAAGTATAAGGTTCTCGCCTCAAATGATCTTAAAACATACTTTAATTGAACAACAGCAACAGAAAAGAGAACATTTAACTTAGTACTCTGAGCTCTGTGAGTTAAGAAGATGGGCCGCCAAGCCGACCAATGAGCAGAAGTTGACTCTCTAGGACACACCCCCTCCTCATTTGCATAATGAGGTAGAAATGCATAGAGAAATGTAAAAAGGGCAGAGAGAAATGTAAAAAGGGCAGAGAGAAATAAACAGCGGCGAAGAAATAACCAATGTAAAAAAATACAAAGGAAGAATAAAACAGACAAAAATATTATAACATGCACATAAATAAATACTGAAAAATATAAGTAATTAAAAAATAAAGTTGAAGATTATAAAGGACAGAAAAATAAATAAGGTAAATATTACAAAGGCAAATAAATAAAGAAGCTAATTAAGAGTTATATACATTTATGTCTCACTTTTTTGTTGGCAATTAATTGTATGCTTATACATTTATTGAGCATTTATTTATTTCTGTATTTATTTTTAAATATGGCAGAGTTAGTCCTTCATACAGTACAAGTTCCAAACATATTTATCTCAAGCAGTAGTAGTAAGGCATGTTGCGAAATGATCTGCTAAGTCGTATCTGAAGGGTATAAAACAGTAGGATATGGTTATAATTTTTTTTTAAATAAAACTGGAGCAATAAGCTTAAGGACATCTATATAACACAGATTATGATGTCTTCTTACCATTGCAGTCCCTTGAACCATTATCTACACGGAAAGCCCAGCGACCAGATACATTAACATTACTTCCGAGGCTTAAATGTGTCAGGTTTGGAAATGTGTTATTTGTGAATGACCCAAGGATGGTGAGGTGGTGACATGAATTAGCTGTGTCATATCCAGCCTAGAAATAACAGAAAAAAAACAACCTTATTTTAATCATACTTAAGAAAATAGACACTGGCTATGCCCAAGACCAGATAAATAAGACAAGTATGCCTTTAGCTCGAATGCTCTAACCTCTATAGAGACCTGTCTGGATGCTAGGGGCCCATAATTCAGTATCACAAATGAGTAATTCCCATTGGAAGCCAAGACTGCCTGAAAGGTTGATTCCTGTAAAAAAAAAAAGAGGAATGTTTAGAATAACTATGCAGAACAAACATAGTTTGTGTCTTTTAATTCTAAATATAATATCAAACAGATTTCCTTACTGTTTCAGGCATTGAATAATAGGGAACTTTATGCCATGTTGCAATAAAGATCCAGTTGGCATGAAAGTTAAGCTCTGGGAAGTATAGGTTGATGTCCTGGGTAACTTGTTGGAGAATAGAGCCGGTGGTATGCTGAACATAATAGATGTTACCGCTTTCACGATTGTCTATATCAGCCCAATAAGGAGCAATAATGTCTCTGCTTTGATCCATTGGAAACTGTAATGGTATATAACGACTCCATGCAGCCTCAAAAGTCAGATGTCCGTTGTTGTTCACCTGCAAATAAAGCGGCTCTAAAATTATGTATTTCCCTTTTTTGATGAATGTTTTAATATTGTCTTGTTAATTAAAAAGAATAGTGGATTACATCCTAAAAAGTAAAATAAACAAAAAATGCCAAAATTAGGCATTGCTGTTTATTTACTTGAAGATGAAGGTTTAAATATTGTTTTCACTATGAAAAAGAAAATTAACTTAAAGTTAAAGAAATAAGTTGAACATACATAAATCTGAGAGTAAGATTCGCCAAAATAGGTAAACTTTTGAAGAAGTGAAATTCGTGGGGAGCTTCCATCTAGTTCTCGAGAGGTTGTTGTTCCTCCAATTGGGTAGAGGGGTCCTGAAAAGTCCAACAGATATCAACAATATGGTCTTCCTGTGTTATTAAACAGGAACAAGTGTTCATATTTAAGGTTTAAACATCCAATCATTTGGGATAATCTAAAATAGTTCCAAACAAAGAGACACATTATCCACTGCATGAAAAGTGGGATTTTCGTCAATATACGGCACTGTAGATTGTCGTGGAACTTCAGGTTAGCGGCAGTTTACGGCAATTTGCAGGCTTCGTCGAAAACTCCCGTAAATTGTCAGAAATTGACGTGGAATTTCTTAGGCAGTGTTCCCCCCATGCCTCCCCCCCATGGAATTCTAGGGGAGGCTTTAACATGTAAATGAACATGCTGTGAGCTATACAAATGCAAACCAGGGTTGCAGGGGGGGTTTTACCCCCCCTGCAACCCTGGGTAAGAAAATCTCTGATACAAAGAGATCAGGTATAGCCTCTTACATTTTAGCTTGAATTGATTTATTTAATTAAAGTATAGAGACCAAAACAGATCTTTAGCTGACAGAGCAATACATTTAGAGCAGTAATTATTTTTTTTTAAATTTGCATTTAAGATAAAAAATAAAATGTTGTCTGTCAATATGCTCAATTCACAATTACTTAAGTGGAAAAGTTTCAAGAAATGATTCTGAGATGATTCACTTTATAACATGGCGCATTATCCTGTTGGAAGTAGCCATCAGAAGATTGGTACACTGTGGTCATAAGGACATAGGTCAGCATGCTAAATTGGTTTTAAGTGGCCCAAAGTGTGGCAATAAATATCCCCCAAATAGATGGTAGAAATAGATCAGGCTCAGTATAGCCTAATTATAGACTCTTACATTTTAGCTTGAATTGATTTATTTAATTAAAGTACGCTAGATTACTGTGTATGCAAATGTTATGTAAAAAAAATACACAAAATAATTTACTTCAAAAATTATTTTTAAACAAAAAAAGTTGGCTGAAAAAGGTTTTTTTTTTTTTTTAGATTTCCACTTAAAAAAAATTTCCCAAAAAAAATTTAAATCACGGGCGGAACAAAGTATAAAAATAAAATAAAAAAAAATAAAATAATAAAATATTAAAGAAATTAATCTTTTGGGGACAAACCAACTAAAATTTCTTAAATTTAACCTCAAACAATTTAATTGCATTTAAATTCTGCATCTTTCCCCAGACATCTTTTGGGGAAAAAGGGAAAAGTTCATTTTTTGGGGAGCATTTCTAAGCAAACCAAAAAAGGGGGACAAATTTTGCGGCAAAAATCAATAAATTACTAAGGTGTACAAAAGAATCGGGGAAAGTCACATTTTTTAGCACAATTTTTAGTAGTTTTAAAAAGATGCTTTGTAGCTGAATAGAACAAAATTTTTAAAGAAATGGGAAAAAAAAAATTTTGGGTTCCCCCCCATTTGTAAATTTAAAATTTTAATTTCAAAGTGGTGTTTAAAAAATGACCATTTTTTTTAAAAAAATTTAAAAAAATTTTCCAAACGCTGCAATTGGGCCCTAAAGCAGTTTTTTGGAAAAAAAAGGGTCGAGGGAAAAAGGCCCAGAGAAAAGGGGCGATCCCCCGCTGCAAAGAAAGGGAAATTTATGACAAGGCTGCCCCCTGTCGAGAGTAAAGATTATTTCACCATGTTTTTCCCATCTATCTAACCCAAACTATCTATCTTAAAACTAAACCCCATCTATCTATCCCATCTATCTATCTATCTTCTATCAAACTATTTTATCTATCTATCCAAACTTCTATCATCTATTTTATCTATCTAAACTATCTTAAACAAACTAAATATATAATATAATTAAAAACTTTTAGTCCCGGGAAAATGTTTCTTCAGCTCCTTTTTTTCATGTAAACCCAATAACTTGTGTACAAAGTAAATTGTTGATGGGATTAAAATTTTTTCTAAAGCATTAAAAAGCATTAAATTAAGTTCCTCATTCCGGTTTTAAAACCGGGGGGGGGAACCCCTTTAAATTTTTTCTGACATATAAAAAAAATCCCCATCATCCCTCCAGCAGAAAGTTCAGTTTTCCCGCCCAAAATATTTTTTTTCTTTTGTGGATTTTTTTTTAACAAAAGGGGTAACTAGGGTCATACCCTAGTTTTTATGGGAAATCTGGGTTTTTTCTCCTTCCAAACTCATCAACTCTCAACCCTTCCCGCAATAAGAATTTTCCCTTTTAAAATTGTGAGATTTACTCAGAATCCCCCACAACTTCTTCCTTTGGGCTGTTAAGCACCATAGTCCGCATCCAAATTTTTTTTTTAATTTCTCTTTGTTTTTTTTGGGAATATAAAACAAACTAAAAATCTAATTTTTAGATACCGTCGTTTTTAAAGATAATTTTAAAATTTTAAAAAACTGGGGGCTTCTCTACCCTTCTTTTTTTTGTTTGGGGCATTGCAATAGCGGGTCTTAATGGGGGTCTGGGCGGACACCGGGGGGAGGCAAAAAAGCTTTAGCTCCGTATTTTGGGCGGGGAAGGGCGGGGAAGACACGGGGGCGGTGACGAGCCGGGGGATGTGGAACAGCTCTCAATTTATTAAAACAGACAAACAAGTTTTCCGTACTTTTAGCGGGGGGGGGGAGGGCCCGCCGGGAATTTTTTGGGTTTTGGGGGGAAAGAGGAAAAAATACACGTCCGGGTGGGTGCACGCCCCGGGCGCCGGACAGTGCAATTTAAAAAACCCCGGGCTGTCCGCCCTAAAGCCGAAAATCCCGGGCCCCCCTAACCTTTTGCACTCGAGCAACTTTGCGGGGGGATACGAACTCGAGAAGAGAAAACGGGGGGCACAACGCCATTCTGCGGGAAATATTGTTTGAAATTTCGGTACTATGCAAAAAAAGCAGCCTACTTAGCTAGGCAAGGGTTAAAAACAAAACCCAGCCTAGCTAGTAAGCTAAAAGGGAGCCCAGCCTTTAAAACTTTTATTAAAGTGTATTTTTTTTTTGAATTTACAAGGGAAACATTATGCCGTCCCTTAAAAAAACTCGGGGGACTAAAAAGCAGGGCGGGAAAGCCCCCGGGGAAAAGGGGGAAAAGGGTTTTTAAAAAATTTTTGCCCTTTTATTCCCGCGGTAAAAAGGACAGGGGTACGGGTAAAAACCAACCCATAGCTGGACTTTTTTTTTTTTTTTTAAAAGACTTTCAAACGCCTCACAAAAGAGGGGGGGGACCTCCTTTTGCTCGGGTTTGCCCATAAAAACACATTTTGGGGTAAGTGACTTGTTTTTTAATAATGTTTTCTCCTTCCTTTTTACTGTAAATTTTTCGTTTTTATTTTTTTTTTTTTTTTCATAAACCCCTTTTCATTTTAATTTTTTTTTCCACTGCCTGTAAGAAATTTTTATGAGAACGGTATCAGGAAACTTCAGATACACGCGCTAGCCAGCACGCGGCTGCCCGGCTATCTTTCTCGGGGTCGGGCCAAAAGGGAAAAAGGGTAAACTTTTTTGGGTGACATTTTTCAGGTGCATTGATAGATGTTTTGTCCCAATTTTGCATTTCGGCTGATTTTAAGTTTTTTTTTTTTTTAGCTGCGAAGGCGAGGGGAGTTTTGGGGTAGGGGATGAGGGAAATGGAACCTGGAAAATCCCCCCACCGTCGCCTCATGTCCGACGAAAAGATGGGGTTTGTCGGGGGGTCCCCTGGGTGGGGTTTTAAAGGCCCCCGCCATTTCGTCGGCCGATCTCACTGGAAAACCTTTTTGTTAAAAACTTTCAACCCGGTTTGAAGCGATGCCGAAAATAAAGGGGCCCCGGCCCCAGTAGGCGTCTGCACATCGGGGGGAATGCTGCCAGTTACCTCCCAAACCCCCAGGGAAACAAAAAGGAAACCCTTTTACCGGAGTTGTAATTTTTTGATACCATGTGTTTTGGATACGCGTTTTTATATAGTTTTTGTGGTTTTTAAAAAAGCTCTTTTTTTGCATAAACAGCTTTCCCTGGCCCAAAACTTTATTTCCTGTATAAATTTATTCTTTTCCCTTTGGTTAGCATAATTTTGTAGTAGTGTAGGATAACATAAATACAAAAGCATTTTGAATGAATAAATAAAAAAATGGGAAAAAATATTGAAATATAATTTTAATAAATATATATTTAAAGGAAAAAAAATATATATAAGGGAAATAAATAAAATCCAAAAAAATCACGAAACGGGCTTTAAATTGTTTAAAAAAAGTGGATTTTTTTTTCCCTCCAATACTCCCTAAGAAAAAATTTCAGCCCCCCGTGGCCCCGGGGTGGTTTTTGCTGCCAATCACAAACGATTTCCCTTTGGTTTTTTAGAAAGGGGTTTTTACCAATGAAAAGGTTTATTCAAGCCAGAACCCGGCCCAGCCGCTCGGGTTTTTCTGCATTCATTTGCAAAATTTGGGCCATTATAAAAGCTGATTTTTCCCCCTCCCCATACGTCACGGTACTTTCCGACAAAATTTGGGGGCCCGACAAACGCGGGGCAAGCACGGGTTTTCAAATTGTCGGAAAATGACGAAAAACCCGGCAGATCTGCGGAGTTTTTTTTGGGGGCGAAAACCACTTTTTATGGGAGTGAACCTGAGGGGGCAAATCCATTGGGTAAGTGATTCTTTTTTTGAAAATAAAAGCAGTTTTAATAAATTTAAAAAAAAAAAAACAAGGGAATTTTCCCAAAAATATTTTTTTCAAACAGTAAAATAGAAGGCAAAGCACGAAAAGAACTTTCTAATTTCCCTATCTAAAGGGTTTTTTAAAAATTTTAGGGAAAAAGGGATAAACTTTTTTTTTTAAATTTAAAAATGCAGCAATACTATTAAGGAATCTATATAACACGTAATTATGAGTCTTCTTACCATTGCAGTCCCTTAAAACCATTATCTACACGGAAAGCCCAGCGACCAGGTACATTAACGTTACTTCCTAGGCTTAAATGTGTCAGGTTTGGAATTATGTTATTAGAGAAGAACCCAAGGATGGTGAGGTGGTGACATGAATTAGCTGTGTCATATCCAGCCTAGAAATAAAAGAAAAAACAACAACCTTATTTCATCATACTTAAGAAAATAGACACTGGCTATGCTCAAGACTAGATAAATAATAGTATGCATTTAGCTAGAATGCTCTAACCTGTATAAAGTATGATGTAAATGCTAGGGACCCATAATTCAGAATCAAAAACGAGCCATTCCCATTGGAAGCCAAGACTGCCTGAAATGTTAATTTCTGTAAAAAAAAAAAAAAAAAAGAGGAATGTTTAGATTGACTATGCAGAATAAACATAGTTTGTGTCCTTTCATTCCAAATATAATATCAAACAGATTTCCTTACTGTTTCAGGCACTGAATAATAGGGAACTTTATGCCATGTTGCGATAAAGATCCAGTTGGCATTAAAGTTAAGTTCTGGGAAGTATGTATTGATGTCCTGGGTAACTTGTTGGAGAATAGAGCCGTTGGTATGCTGAACATAGGAAATGTTACCACTTTCATGATTGTCTATATTGGTCCAATAAGGAGCAATAATGTCTCTGCTTTGATCCATTGGAAACTGTAATGGTATATTACGACTCCATGGAGCCTCAAAAGTCAGATGTCCATTGTTGTTCACCTGCAAATAAAATGACACTAAAATTATGTATTGCTTATTTCCCTTTATTGATGAATGTTTGAATATTGTTTTGTTAATTAAAAGGATAAGAGAATTACATCCTAAAAAATAGAATAAAAAAAAAAAGTCAAAATTAGATATTGCTGTTTATTTACTGGAAGATGAAGATTTAAATTTTTTTTTTTTTATGAAAAAGAAATTAACTTAAAGACAAAGAAATAAGTTGAACATACATAAATCTTAGAGTAAGATTTGCCAAAATAGGTAAAGTTTTGACGCAGTGAAATTCCTAGTGAGCTTCCATCAAGTTCTCGAGAGGTTGTTGCTCCTCCAAATGGGTAGAGGGGTCCTAAAAAGTATAACAGATATCAACAACATGGTCTTCCTGTGTTATTAAACAGGAACAAAAGTTCATATGTAAGGTTTAAACATCCACTCATTTGGGATAATCAAAAATAGTTCCAAACAAAGAGACACATTATCCTGAGGGACAAATGCATTGATAAGTGATGCTTTTATTTTTAAATATCAGCAGTTTTAATATTAAAAAGGCTAAAAAAGTGCAATTTCCAAACATATTTATTTCAATGAAGTAGTAGTAAGACATGTTGCGAAATGATCTGCTAGGTCGAATCTAAAGGGTTTAAAATTGTGGGAAATGGTTCTAACTTTTTTTTTTAATAAAATTGCCGCAATACGCTAAAGGACATCTATATAACACGTAGATTATGATGTCTTCTTACCATTGCAGTCCGTTGAACCATTATCTACACGGAAAGCCCAGCGACCAGGTACATTAACGTTACTTCCTAGGCTTAAATGTGTCAGGTTTGGAATTATGTTATTAGAGAAGGACCCAAGGATGGTAAGGTGGTGACATGAATTAGCTGTGTCATATCCAGCCTAGAAATAAAAGAAAAAAACAACCTTGTTTTAATCATACTTAAGAAAATAGACACTGGCTATGCTCAAGACAAGATAAATAAGACAAGTATGCATTTAGCTAGAATGCTCTAACCTGTATAAAGACTGGTTTAGATGCTAGGGACCCATAATTCAGAATCAAAAAAGAGCCATTCCCATTGGAAGCCAAGACTGCCTGAAAGGTTGATTCCTGTATTAAAAAAAAAGAGAAATGTTTAGAATAACTTTGCAGAATAAACATAGTTTGTGTCTTTTCATTCCAAATATAATATCAAACAGATTTCCTTACTGTTTTATCCACTTGAAAATAAGGAACTTTATACCATGTTGCAATAAAGATCCAGTTGGCATTAAAGTTAAGTTCTAGGAAGTACGTATTGATGTCCTGGGTAACTTGTTGGAGAATAGAGCCATTGGTATGCTGAACATAGGAAATGTTACCACTTTGACGATTGTCTATATCAGTCCAGTAAGGAGCAATAATATCTCTGCCTCCATCAATTGGAAACTGTTCTGGTGAATAACTTCTCCATGGTGCTTCAAAGGTCAGATGGCCATTGTGGTTCACCTGCAAATAAAATGGCACTAAAATTATAGCTTATTTCCCGTTTTTGATGATGTTTGAATATTGTTTTGTTAATTAAAAAGAAAAGTGAATAATATCTTATAAAGTAAAATAAACAAAAAATGTCAAAATTAGGTATTGCTGTTTATTTACTTTAAGATGAAGGTTTACATATTGTTTTCACTATGAAAAAGAAAATTGACTTAAAGACAAAGAATAAGTTGAACATACATAAATCTGAGAGTAAGATTTGCCAAAATAGGTAAAGTTTTGACGAAGGGAAATTCGTTGTGAGCTTCCATCATCTTCTTGAGAGCTTGTTGTTCCTCCAGTTTGGTAGAGGGGTTCTGAAAGGTACAATAGACATATACAGATGCAGGAAGACAAAGAATGACAGATAATTTAAACTTACCTGAAAAACATCATTTTAACTTACCAGAATCATGAGTTGTTATTTCGCCTAAAAGAACAAACAAATAACATTGTACATAAAGTTAAGATACATAAAATATTAAATTAAGACAATTAATATCTACCCCTGGCCCTTTCAAAGGTTCATTGTCTGTTATCTTTCTGGCCTGTCAACTATTTTTTGTTCTTATTACCCCATATTTACAAAGACTCTTTTATCTGTGTTTCCTCTGTAAGCTTTTCTTGCCAGTTTGATTATTCCTTCCATCACCATTGGACTGCACTATGACTGCACTATGACGTCCTACGTCCATCACAAATAGATATAATTAGAATTTCTGATGGACTACACAGCCAAATGGTCTGAGTGCTATGTGCGAAGCTGGCTTTATACTCCAGCTTTAATCATTCAATAAACACATCTGCAACACTCCAACTCCTTTTCATTACCACTCTTTACTCCCACCTCTGTGCCAGACTCTTTAATCTGTGTATACATATAAACTGGGCGTTTTTCAAATCAGCAAGGAAATCCAAAAGAATGACCCAGTGACTATTGACGGCCCATTATTTTACTCCTGAGTGGAAACTAAAGTTGCACGCTTTTACCTTTATGAAAATGGATGAGAAGCACTTTGCAGGCTTATGCACGGATCACTTTTTGCAGGTAGCAAGGCAGTGGGAAATTGACCATAAAGTAATTCCGCTGACAACAGATAGTTTATTAATTGTAAGCCAATTATTATTTGTAATATAAAAAAATGTAGTCAGGCATTTTAAACATAGTCCTTCTGAAACCACAGAGCTAGAATAAAAGCAGATTGCTTACTGAGTCACTTACACAAGATGTGTCTACTAGAGGGCACAGCACTCTGGAGATGACGAACCATATACTGAGAATGAAGAACCACTGACAGACGTTCTTGCTCCACATCCTACTACTTGATCTACATCCCACTTTTTTTCTCTTTCCACACCCCCTCCTCCTGCCAGTTAGTGTTGTTTTATTTTTGGACTCCTACCCTTCTGTTCTGAGCTTCTCAATCTGTCCTTTGTAGGTCGTTTGGTTTTGGTTTATTTTAAATTTTTTGGCTTTAAGAGCTTAAAAAGGCTGGAACACAGGTGAAGAATTGAGCATTGATTATAAGGAGCTGTAGTGTTACAAGAATTTATATATATATATATATATATATATATATATATATATATATATATATATATATATATATATATATATATATATATGTTTTATTTTTTTCTCTTCTACCACATTTAGGGGGTTAAATCTTGGGGATGAGATACGATTAGTATGCAGTAAAATTATTAGGAAGCATGGCCGTGTTAAATTACACTGATGTGTAACTTAAGCATTTGCATGGTCGACAATTCTTTTTCCTCTTTGTTTTCTGTAAGTTGAGTTTTTGTTCCCTCTGCCCTCATGTTGTGATTGGTTTTCTTCCTTAAACCTGCACCTTTAGACACACTGATATGCAGATACATGATCAGTCAAAGCTGGACTGAGTAAAGGCGGGCACACATTGTACAAGTTTTGCCTTTTTCAGGCCGATTCTCTAGTCTTGCAAGAATTCTTTACATCTGGTCCAGTTTAGGTCTCATGGTGCCTCCAGCATTGTGTAGTATACAGGGGGGTATAAGAGGCGATTAGCCTCTTAGGACCACCTCCCAAACAAGAGTCATAAGGTTGGGAGAAAATCAAACATGTTTGAAATTCAGTCGGCCCTTGTGAGGTGTTTGTGAGCCATTATACTATTGAGGTAGAGCTACGAGCGTCTATGAGCCGATTTGCCTGAAACAGGCGCACTGTACTTGTGCAAACAAGGAAATTCTTCTTCTTACAGATTGAGTCTGACGTATTGTTTTTGACATACAGTGTGAGCAGTTAGATCGTATCAGAGCATCAGGCAGTACAGTGTAAGAACGTACATTGTGGGCCGTGAGGTTTCAAACCTTGCGGTTTCGCAGGGTATATCCACCTTTAGGTACAGGACTCAAAGCTCCTTTGCATATCAGAAACACATATCATGTGTTTCTGATATAATCAGGTGCAGCGATGCACCTGAGGGGAGCAGCTTTAACTGATGCTGCGTAATGCATAATAACCATGAAATAATGCTTGTGCATCATATCATTGGCATTATGCTTTATGCATGAGTTAAGCTGTCGTTGGACCCAAGTTCTGGATTCGGTATGAATACACTATGTATACGGCCAAAATTGAAAAAAATGTTCAGTATGTATAAAATGTATTGACAAATGTTCAGAAAGTTCAGTATATGCCACATTTTAGGAGATTCTGGGACGTCGGGCATATGCTGTCTAAATCAGCTTATGAATCAGCATTTGAATTGAAAAAGCTTCTTGGAAGGAAAGTGAAACATCTTCAAACTAGGAAACAAAGTCTGATGGATTGTTTTTAATTTTCTTTTTTTTGGGGGAAAACTGTCTAACCATTCTCATTGAAGAATAAAATCTCTACAAGATATTGGACTTAATCTTTTATTTTTTGCGAAATAACATATACCTTATGTGGTAAAAAAATAAAAAACATTAATGACAGGCTTCTTCCACTAAGATTAACTGGAACCCACTGCTAATTCTTGGCATTTGATGCCACATTTTCCTACCCTAAGATAACGAAGTCATAAATGCATTTAGGAAAGGATCTTCAACTTCAGGGTGTTTACTTTTGGAGACAGTTTAATTCCATCCAACTCCAGGAAAGGTTTCTGGAAGACTTCAAAAGTGTAGCGCAAAGTCGGAGAGTAATCCAAGTTTAGGGCCTATAACAATCTCATGAGTAGCGAGCAGGCTTTTACAGTACTGTTGCACCCTGCCAAAATGACTGTCGTCAGGACTACCTCTTGCTCTGTGTGTGATCCTGTAATGTCTGTACTTGGGGCAGAATTAGTCCTGCTGTGAGCTACAGTGCACATTATGACGAATGCTCTAATAGAGTTTACTGCACAAAAAAGTTACTTTTTTCTAGGGATGCACAATATTGGGATTTTGGCCGATATCCGATATGCTGATATTTTAAAACTCATGTAGCCGATAACCGATATCGATACCGATGTTAAAGCTGGACAAAAATATGTAGCCATTGAAAATAGCAGTTTTGTTATCCATTTCTGACACTTTGAAAAATAATATACTCAAATATATTTTCATATGCTGATATCAAATTGATTTTTAAAAACGCGGTATCGATCTATTTTACTTTCAAAATCTCGTGAAATTTCATCGTTCTGTTACAAACTCTTGTGATATTTTGCAAATTCTTGTGAGATTTTGTTAGTAAAATAGGTCGATACCGCGTCAATATATCAACATATAAAAATCTGGCAAAATTTCGTGAATTTTCGGGGGATTTCGTAGCATAACGATGACATATAGCAATATTTCATTAGTAAAAGAGATTGATATGGTGTTTTTTTAAATGGCAATATATCAGCATATGAAGATATTGTGATATTTTAATGTATCAATATTTTTTCCCTCGTCTTTAGAAGTTTTTAAGTCTGTAAAAAAGACGTTTTTGAGGAAGAAGAAGTAGTAGTATTTTTTTTTTTTTTTAGACTTTAGAAACTCAGAAGCTGATCAAATATCGGGTTAAATATCGGTGGGGTGGCCGATGTCCGATATTCAGTTTTTAGGCCGATACAGGCCGATACCGATAGGGGGCCGATTATACCGTGCATCCCTACTTTTTTCAGTGTATACATGCTCTCTTTTATCCTGACATGGGAGCTGGCTTGGAGCTTGTCTGCTTGTTTCCTGGATGGGGCTGCCTAAGGAGCTGGTTTACCGTTGCCTTCTGTATCTCTGCGTCTTTTTCTATGTCTGCTTCTGTCTGCTTGAACCCCAGTTGGCCTCAGCAGATGGCCACTTACACTGAGCCTGGTTCTGCTGGAGGTTTCTTCCTGTTAAAAGGGAGTTTTCCTTTCCACTGTCGCTACAAGCAAGCTTGGTATGAGGGGTTGCTATCGAGTCAATGAGATGATGTTATCAGCTGGTTTTCCTTAGACAAATAGCTCTGAACCAATCTGACTGCATGATCTGGTTGAATTGTCTCTGTAAACTGCCTTGAGATGACATGTGTTGTGAATCTCTTTATTATGACAGCACTAGGTCTGGTGAAGTAATGCATGCCTTGAAGCAGTCGGAACATTTATAGATGTTTTCTTGTGGCAGGGTTACTGCCACCCTCCTCAAAGTTGTTTAGTGCTTGTGAAAGCAATACAGACCTAGGGACCATTACAAGAGGTGTCATTCAACTAGTTCTAAGTCAACATATAAACACAAAGGTTATGAAAATATTTTATGAAGGTTGAAAGGTGTTTGTTAAACTTAACTAAAGTCAATCCTAAATCCCAGTAGTTTCTTTCCTTAAAAAAATTAGATTTTTTCAGTATAATATATTGGTATACTGATTCATTAATTTGGTACACCACATTTGATTGTGTGTATGTTTATTTCTGTAGATAGACATTTCAGTTCCTTACTATTTTTGTTAAGTTCAAGAGATTGATGAATTCAGAAAGATAATTGAACAAAGGTTGACTTAAGTAGGTACTTACCTATAACTGACAGAAACAGTACAGACAGAATAATTCTGCCCACCATTTTGAACAATTCTGAAGTTAAACCTGCAAAAGAAGAGTACAACAACAAATAGATTGTAGATATACGTTACATTTTAATTCCCAAATACATGAAACAAAACTTTTTATTACCTGCTAACTCAATGAAAATATGTATACAGCTTGTTATAAGATAGTATTTTGTAGTGCAAAAGATCAAAAATAAAAATGGTTTTACCTTGGCTATGTGCCACTCTGGTGTGTATGTATGTTGAATGACGAAGTATTGCTGCAACAAGGTTTTATACAGTGATGGCTGGCACAAATCCAATTTTTTTTTTACTCTAAGCAAGTTGTATCAATAGAGTACACCGTTAGTTCCTCATTCTCTTCCAAATGAACCAGATAATAAGCATGCTTCAAGGCACTGCTAGTTCAGGGTACAACA